CACCACCACCGTCTCACCGCCGCCTCGTACCCCAGATCGATGGTGATCCAGGCGGCCAGGTCGGAGCCGCTGACCACGGTGGCGCACGCGGTGTTGGCCATGTTGCCGTTCACCACCTGGGGCAGGTGGAGGTGCACCCGGGTGGGTGGGTGGGGCAGGTGAAGGGGCCGCCGGGGGCACGCTGGCAACACTGCGGCATGCGGCCCCCCGCCCCTGTGCGTGCGTAGGGGAAGAGTGGGCGTGGGCACGGTGGCGGCCCCTGCCCGGCCCCCATCCCCAGCGCCCCCCACCCTCCATGCCCGCCCACCTGGCTGGACTGCGTGGAGTCGCCTGTACCCGCCGAGGCGGTGGTGGCCTTGCCCAGCGCCGCGTTGCCCACCAGCGGGTACACCTCCACCACGCACAGGCTGACGCGGGACTGGGCGGAGATGGAGACGTAACGCCCCTGCACACCGCGTGGGCGCATGCGCGTGGCTGGTGGCGGCAGGCACAGGCGCAGGCGAGGCTGCCGAGACGGCAACACGGCCCAGCCCAGCTGGGGAGGTGCATGGCTGGCGGGGCGGCGGGCACATGTGTGTGCAGGTGGTGGGCGCCCCGCCTCTGGCCCAGCCCCAAAACCTCCCCACCACCCCCGGCGCCCCGGCGCAGTCCAGGCTGCCTCCACCCGGCACCGCACCCCGCAGGGCCCAGCTTGCCTGCAGCACGCGCTGGCACAGCACAATCTTGCCCTCCCCGGGGTCGTAGTCGTCGGCGCCCTTGCACAGCGGGCCTGCCCCCGCCGCCGCGGTGTTGGTCACCCGTATCTCCACGCCCTCCATCTGCTGCGGCCCCACGCGCACCAGCACGCCCTGCAGCGCAGCAGGCAGGACGGCACGCGGGGCGGCGCTCGGCAGGCCGTACGCCGCCCGACCCGGCAACACAGCAGGCGGGCGCAGCAGGCGCCGCAGCAGGCGGCCACCCCCACCAGCCCCCGAGGCGCACCAGCACGCTCGTCTCGCGCTGCAGGTCCACCACCCACCACCCGGGCGCCTCCAGCGTCTGGCTGCAGTTGTCTGCGGCCTGCGGCTGGCGGTTGCCCGACACTGGGAGGTACGAGGAGCGGGCGCCCTCGGTGCCCGCCTGCCACGTGGCCTTGCGGTGCGCCACGTCGGAGCCGAAGAAGGAGGGCGGGTCTGCCGGGTAGCAGGGCAGCGTGACGGGGCTGCCCTGCTTGGGCTCCCCGTTCTGCTGCACCGTGGGGTTGAAGTACTCCAGGTCGAGGGGAGCCACGCGGTTGGACCAAGCCAGGTCGTACAGGTTGGGCGCAGAGGCGTTGACCGTGGCGCCCCCGCAGTTGCCGTCGGCCGCGCAGCTGCCCAGGGTGGTGATGATCTGGTGCTTCACCCGCTCGCCGCCGCCGCCGCCGCCGTCGCCCGACGCGTCGGCGGCGTCCGCGGGCGCCGAGTACAGCAGGGTGTGGTTGGGGGAGGGCACCACGGGGCCACACAGCAGCGGGTTGTCTGGCTGCAGTGCGGCCACAAAGGGGGTGGCAAAGCCAGGGGGCAGGATCCAGGCCGCCGGCAGCGTGCCCGCCAGCTTGTTCCCCTGCAGCGCCAGCTCCTGCAGCGCCGGGAAGTTGGAGGCCCAGCTGGGCGGCAGCGCCCCCGTCAGCTGGTTGCCCTCCAGCAGGAGGCGCTGCGGCGGGCAGGGGAGGGGGAGAGGGGGGAGCAGGCGCGGTCAGGCAGCAGGCGCAGCCGGCGACACGATGGGAGAGAGCCCCGGGCTGCGCAGCTGCTGCGCGGCATGCCGCTACCATGCCGCTATCATCCACCATGGCGCCAGCCGCGAGGCGGTGCCGCACCAAGCCGTGCACGGTCCCAGGCCCAGCCTGCTTGCCCTTCCCGATGCCCGGCAAGAGCAAGGCCCAGCGCGGCAGCTGTGCTGCCTGCCGCAGCGCCGCACCTCCAGCGATTTGACGGCCAGGCTGGGGGGCAGGCTGCCATCCAGCTGGTTCCCACCCAGGTCCAGCACCGTAAGGTTGGTGAGGTTGAGCGCCGGCGGCAGCGTGCCGCTCAGCCCCCAGCTCGGGAGGACGCTGCAGCGGTACACGCAATGGGCGGCGGCGCGAGTCGCATGCAATGCCGGCAGGCAAGCAGCATGGCGGTGCCAGGCCGGCTGGCATGGGCGTGCGCAGAATGTGAGCACTGCAGGCAGCGGCAGCAGTGGCAGCGGCGGCGGCGGCATGCGCAGTCCTGCTGCCGGCCGATGGCGGCAGCGTGTGACCCGTGCCCGCTGAGCAGCGCCGCAGCCCACTCACATGGACGTCACCCGTCCCTCCGTGCAAAACACGCCCACCCACTGGCTGTCGCAGGGGTCGGTGCCGTTGGTCCAGCTGGACACCAGCGCATCGCTTGTTCCCGACACAGACTGCTGGAAAGCAAGCAGCGGCGCTGCCTCGTCCAGCGCCGCCCGCACGCCGCCGCACGCTGCCAGTAGGAACAGGGCGAACAGCACACGTGCGCCGCCTGCTCCCCTTGCTGCGCCTCTCATGTCACTCTCGCCGCAGCAGCCGCGTCCTGCAGTGTGGGGGGGTTGGGGCGGGGTGCGCGGCCCACACGAGTCTGGGGGGGGTGTTGCTCACGCGCTGCCGGCCGCAACAGGGCCCCAGGACGCGCCCTCGGGCTGTTCAGGCTTATCACATGCGGGTTGGAAGGTCTGCCGGCCTCTGTCTCACCACCTGTTGGTTACCGCGGGGGCATATTGCAGGTTGTAGCGCAGGCAGCGCTGTACAACAGAATGCCTGGGCTGCAGATGAAGCTGTTGGCGGAGAATTGCGTCATACCGCAAGCAGGGGGCGGCCGAAGCCAGCGCAGCACGCAGCATACGAGTACTGCAGACTTTGCTGCATGTTCTTGTGCATTGCCTGCGTCACAGCTGCTGTGCAGCTAACTTAGAGTGTCGCCCAAGCTCTGTCGCCACTCTTGGGGGCAGGGAGCTGAGACCGGGATAGGGAAACAACGCCACGCCCGTAGGATCGATTGGGATCCACCAGAGCGAGGTTACGCTCCATACCAGCGATCGGGCGGGCCAGAGGGTGCAGGGAGTGGCGAGTGGGCGGCGACCATGACCGACGCTGGCGGCGAGGCAGGTGGCAGCAGCGGGGCGGTAACTGCTTTAGATGGACCCCAGGTGGAGCTGGCGTTCAAGTGGAACAAGAAGGGGATCTTGATTCATGTGGATGCCGACGAGTCGGTGCAGGTGCGGCAGCCGCAGCAAGTGCCGCTGCTCGAGCCTCCGCCGCCGCTGTCAGCCAACTGCCGGTGTGAACTGACGCGCAGGGCATCAAGCGCAAGCTGGAAGCCGCCACCAGCGTGTCGGAGAAGAGGATGAAGCTGCTGGGGCTGAAGGCCCGCAGCGGCAAGCCTGCGGGCGATGCCGACATCGTGGCAGACCTGGTGCTGAAGCCGGGCGCCAAGCTGCTGATGATGGGGTGCGGTGCAGGGCAGCTTGGCAGGGTGGTGGCTGGCAGGCTCCACCTGATGCAGCGCCGACCGTGTGCGCTGCGCCTGCGCAACCTGCAGGACCGCGGACGAGGAGATCGCGAAGCTGAATGCCGGCGCCGAGGTGGCGCCTCACGTGCAGGACGACTTTGACATCCAGGCAAGCAACAAAGGCATTGCTGCATCTCCCCACCATCCCCAGCCCCCACAACTCCCTCCCCAGCATGCACATCGCTGCAGGAGGATGGCATGGCGGAGATCGACCTGGTGGACCGGCCCGAGGTGCAGGAGAAGCTGCGCCGCCGCATTGACAGCTGCAGCGTCAAGGTGGGGCTGCCCTCACGTCGTCTCCCTGCCATGCCATGCCTGCGTCATCTTGCTGGCGGTGGCGTAAGCCCCTGGCACCCCTGCCTTTTGCGCCGCCTCATCCAGCCTGCATCTCCAGTCGGCGCGCTGCCCTGCCTCGCTGCTCCCCGCAGGTGCTGAACCCGCCCCGTGCGGGCAAGAAGGTGCTGGTGCTCGACATTGACTACACGCTGTTTGGTGCGTGCAGCCTGCAGCTGGCGCGGGGCCTTGCCTCGGCAGGCTCTGCTGCGTGCTGGTGAAGGGGGGGCATGCATCGCACCATCTCCCATCTCCCCCAGGCGCCAGCAATTGGAGGCATGCCCGCCGCTCCCTCCCCCTCACATGCAGACCTCAACTCCTCTGCGGAGCGTCCCGAAGAGCTGGCCCGCCCCTTCCTGCACCAGTTCTTGTCCGCCGCCTGGGTGGACTACGACATAGTGATCTGGAGGTGAGGGCTGGGGTGCCAGGCACAGTGGTGTGTGTGCACGTGGGGTGGTTGCTGGGTGCATGAGGGTGTGTGGGGTGGGGTGGGGGGGCGTGTTGGGCCTGGCGGTGGGAGGAATGTGCATGCTACACACCCCTGCTGCTTGGCTTCAAGCCCTGCCCCCAAATGAATGCGAATGCTGCTGGTGCTGGTGCCAATTGCGCGCACCCCCCGCCCCCCGCGCAGCGCCACCTCCATGAAGTGGGTGGAGGTGAAGATGCGGGAGCTGGGGGTCAGCACGCACCCAGACTACAAGCTGACATGGTGAGGCGCAGAGGGGGCAGCACGCGCACACACACACACTTTGCAGCAGAGCGCATGCAGGCGCTGGTGGCTGGCACCACCTGCCGGCTGCCCGTGCCGTGACGGCGGCCCGGCCAGCTGCCCACACGCCACTTGTGATGCGCTGCAGCATGTTGGACCACCGGGCTATGCTGACGGTGCAGCACCCCAAGTATGGTGAGCGAGCATGGAGGGGTGTGGCTGCAGGCAGAGGCACGCGTTGCGGCTCGAATCACACTCTCACACACAGAAAAACAAGGCCTGCCGCCGCCGGTGCAGGGCTGTTTGACTGCAAGCCGCTGCAGTTCCTGTGGGCCAAGTTCCCGGAGCACTATGGGGCCCACAACACCATCATGATGGACGACCTGAGGCGCAGTAAGGCCCCCGCTGTGCTCACGCCTGCAGCACGTGTGCGCTGGATGTGCGGCGGGGCGGGACGCGCGCGAGGCAGCAAGCGCTGCGCCTGGCGCCACTGCCCTCAGCTGCCCTACCCGCCCCCCTTGCAGACTATGTGCTGAACAAGCAGAACGGGCTGGTGATCCGGCCCTTCAAGAAGGCGCACCTCACCAGGGCCACGGACCGCGAGCTGCTCTACCTCACCGCCTACCTGCAGAAGATTGCGGCCCTGGACAGCCTGGCAGGGCTCAACCACAGGTGAGGGTGCAGGCCCCCGCAGGCGGTGCCGCTGGCCCGCCTGCCCAGCCTCTGTGCGACGCATAGATCTAGACCCATTCCGGCTGCCCCCTGCCTGCCGCTGCGCAGGCACTGGGAGAGCTACGCCAAGGCAGAGATCCGGCAGCTGCGGCGAGCGCTGGAGGCGCAGCAGCAGGCCGAGCAGCAGCAGCAGCAGCAGCAGCAGGAGGGCGGCAGCTGACCACTGCGCGGCATGACGTTCCCGCTTCCCAGTGTCTGGTGTGCGAGGGTTACACGCCCCGGCGGGTTGTGGTGTGGCCATGGTTCGGTGGTGCCAGGAACATTCATGACAAAAGTAAAGGAGAGGTTTGAGAGGGGAGCGTGGGGAGAGAGAGGCAGATTACAGAGGGAGCAGGGGAGACGGAAGTAGCTCAAGCAAGTGCCCTCGGAGGGCGGGCAATACGAGGGCTGGGCAGCCCAACACAACATGCTCCGGTGGGTATCTAGCAGCCTAGCGGACCGTGCCCGGCCGGCTAGGGCTGGGCGCCGCCGGCGCCTGGGCCGGCGGGCGGCTGCGGCGAGGGCGACGTCTTGGGGTCGCTGGGCGAGTACTCTGGGCCCGAGGGCGAGTAGCCGGGCGCCGCGGGTGAGGAGCCGGCGCCGCTGGGGTCGCTGGGGGAGTACTGCAGGGCAGGTGGTTGGGGGGGAGGGCAAGGGGCACAGGCAGGCGAGCGTGGGTCACAGTGCCGCCCATACACATGGCAGGCAGGGTGTGTCATACGTGCAGGCACTCGGTGCATGTGCTGCCCCTGGGCGCAGCAGAGCCACGTGCCTGCGGCGACGTCGGACTGTACTGCGGCGAGGTGGGGCTGTACTGCGGAGATGTCGGGCTGTACTGCGGGCTGGTGGGCGAGTACTGCACAGCGGGGGCGGGAGCGGCACCAGCGGCAACCCTCAGAGCGAGGCCCCTCATTTCGGGCGCCACCACACATCCAGGCGCCACAGCAGGCAGCAGGCTGCGTGGCTGAACATGCCTGCGGGCTGGTGGGAGAGTAGGCGGGGCTGGTGGGAGAGTAGGCGGGACTGGTAGGGGAGTATTGCGGAGAGGTGGGGCTGCAGGGTGAAGGGAGGTGCGAAAGCGCAGTCCAGTCAGCCTTGGGACCACCAGAACAGCTTGCCAGGCGCCTCCAGAGCAATGCAGAAGAGCGTGTGCCAGGCGGCAGCGTGGCTCACGAGTACTGTGGTGAGGTGGGGGAGTAGGCGGGGGAAGTGGGGCTGCAAGGGCACGAGGGAGCACAGCGCGGCATTGAGGAGCGGGCGATGGCAGCGGGGATGGGCGGGACAGCTGGGCGGGCGCCCCTTGGTGCACGGCAGAGTGCGGCAGAGGCGCTCACGAGTATTGTGGTGAGGTGGGGGAGTAGGCCGGGCTGGTAGGAGAGTAGGCAGGTGAGGTGGGAGAGTAGGCTGGACTGGTGGGGGAGTAGGCGGGGCTGGTAGGAGAGTAAGCGGGGCTCGTGGGGGAGTAGGCCGGCGAGGTGGGGGAATAGGCTGGTGAGGTGGGAGAGTAGGCGGGGCTGGTGGGAGAGTAGGCGGGGCTGGTAGGGCTGCACGGCAACAAGGAGGGGGCGTGATCAGTGGGGGAGGGCTGCGGAACCACCAACATGTGATGCCGGGCCTTGCAGGCCGTCCCAGCCCCACCACGCCTCACCTGTAGCCAGGCGAGGTGGTTGAGTAGCCGGGGCTAGCAGGGCTGTAGCCGGGGCTAGTAGGGCTGAAGCCGGGGCTGGTGGGAGAGTAGCCAGGAC